AGTTACCTATATGGGAATAAACACGATAAAAATAATTAATTTTAAAATAGCCTGAAGACACCTATAGTAACGTTATATTATTTATTAGTTTTGGAGAGTGTCACCCTGGTCCTGAGACTGGTGGGTGATGGTTGTGTGGTGGTGGGTGATGGTTGTGTGGTGGTGGGTGATGGTTGTGTGGTGGTGGGTGATGGTTGTGTGGGTGGTTGTTGTGTGGTGGTGTTTGGTGGAAGGTAGTGAAGGTAAGTGGCGCAGTCGTAACTAATTTAACATGACCAACTTTAGGTAAAGTGGCAATGCTTGTGATGTTGATAGCGGCATTAACATTGATGAAAATGTTGCAGAGGCAGAATGGTTGTGGGCTGTGTGTGTGTGAGAGAGAGAGAGAGAGACGACCATTCCTCAAAATAAAATAAAAAAAAATAAAAAATACCAACAAAAAGATATTGGTTTTCTTTGTGTGAATGAGAAGAGCAAAATTTCCAACAAAAAAGGAATAAATCCCTTATAGGTTTTACATTATCAAGTAAAAAATTAAAATACAGATGTGAAGAAAAAAAAATATTAGTAAAGCAAAATAAACTAAAATAACAAGTATGGTCTTTCATGACTGACAGTCTTAAGAAGAAAAATGAATCTAAAATCGACATAAGATCAGAGGTTGTGAGGGGAAGAAAAAGACGAAGTTTTTACCCCTCGACCCTGAGATCCAGCGAGGCCTCACGCAGAGAGGTGATGGGGGCAGGGGAAGGGCTAGGGGGAGAAAGAGCTAATTTTAGATACAAACAAAAGAGAAAGGTAGAGAGAGAGATGCAGAGATGCTGGTATCAGATTGGGTGGTGCTGCAGGTCATCGGTAAACAGAGCGAATAGTTTAAAAGGCAATAGAGGGATTCCGTAGCATTAATTTGATCAGCCATATTGGGGTTGATTCAGTAATTAGTACAGGGAGGATATGGTGTTTACTGTTAAATGATTGAAGTAAAGAAAGAAATGAAGAATATTTAGAATAACTTTGATAGTAGGAAAAGTCATGAGAGAAAGGTAAGTGGATAAATAACCAAGAAAAATAGTCAGATTGAATTTCACGAGTTATAGTCATTACACACACACACACACACACACACACACACACACACACACACACACACACACACACACTTCAGGTAGGGATACAGTCATGAATCGTAGATACAGTCATTATTTTGACAATAAGTCCAGTTCGTGAAATATACTGTATAATTGTTACATTACATTGTGCATATAATTTCCCTTTCTCTCTGACACGTTATCTCGTTCTCTCTCTCTCCCATCTTATCTTTTTCTCTCGCTCCAAATTTCCATCTGTACTTTCTTTTCTTTTTCTCCAGTGTCTTTCTTTCCCTCTCTTCTCTGGCTCTTTTTTTCTTTCTCACTTTTTTTATTCTTTTCATTCTCTCTACGCTTATTTTCTTTTCTTTTTTCACATTCTTTCTTTCTCTCTTTTATCTTTTTCTCTACTTAACTTTCAATTCTATCTTTTTTTTCTTATCATCTTTTCTTTCTATCTCCCTACACCCCTTCTCTTTATTTCAATTCTCTGTCTCCCTCCTCTTAGTATTTCTCCAGAAGTCAAACTCTCTCCTCCCTCACTCACCACTCCACCTCATTACAACTCTTTACACCATGGACCAGGTCATTCAGCTTACAGTGTGAGTCTTCAAGGTTCCCGAGAGAGAAAATTGAATGTGATTTAAGGGATTTTCTCCTTGGGAAAGACGATTGGATATTCTCTCCTCGCCAAGTTCTTCGTTCAGTAGGAAATTGTTGGCAACATATAATTTTATTTATGATTTTGATCTGTAGATATTTAAAAGAAAAACATGAGGTGAATTATAGGAGAACAACCTTGGATTCTACGTTCAGTATGATCGAAATTATATATATATATATATATATATATATATATATATATATATATAATTCTGTTTATAATTTCGATTAGTCCAACACCCTCCAACTCGCTAACACCAACCAGCAACCACTAACAACCTCTAACAACCACCAACACCCTCCAACAACAAACCAACACCCTCCAACAACCACCAACACCCTCCAACAACCACCAACACCCTCCAACAACCACCAACACCCTCCAACAACCACCAACACCCTCCAACAACCACCAACACCCTCCAACAACCACCAACACCCTCCAACAACCACCAACACCCTCCAGCAACCACCAACACCCACCAACAACCAGCAACATCCACCCACCTGCACTACACCTCTGCCAGGGCAGGTCAAGATGGGTCACTCGAGACAACTTCTGACAGCTGACGAGGTTATGATACGGTGATGACGTCATACAGGCGCTCTTCTGTAGGGATATTTTACGATTCAAGATTAATTAAGAAGCAGAAGTGTCGATATTTTCCTCTCGCTGTTTGTGTGCATGAATCTCTCTCTCTCTCTCTCTCTCTCTCTCTCTCTCTCTCTCTCTCTCTCTCTCCAATAAAGCTCTAAAAATTAAAGAGTATCTAATCGAGTCTGAGTTGTATTATATCTTTCACTCCCAGGTCCGGTCCGCCCACAATACATAAGGGAGTGAAAAAGAAAAACAATAATTTGGAGAAAAGATTAAATGTCACGTCAAGAGGTGTCGACCTTCAGGCTGTTGTTATCATTTATTCACAGGTGACATTCTTACTGTCCACATAAAAGTTTTAGGAGGTTTAATGGAGATAGTGTAGTGGTGATCACACTCGCCCACCCGGGTTCGACCTTAACCATGGTTATACAAGATTCCCCTAAAAGGTTATATACAGTTTGCTTGATGAACTAATATAAATTGAGAGTTATTGTTAGGAAAGTGAGGAATCTATTTGGAGCATCTCAGTATAGGATCAGAACCGTTCAACGCCCACCTCTAACTGCTGCTATTATAGGTGTTAACCAGTGATGACCCTCCCTTGAGAGTTATTACGTCACATCACACCTCTGAAGCCTCACTAGTGCATTATCTTGCCACGGTAAAGGTATAAGAACAACAAGAGAGTTCAGGATGAAACATAATACAACATACTGTGTTAGAACTGTGAGCTGTGCTGGATAAACAGTGTCATGTTGTTCAAGAGTAACACAATAAAACACACGCCGGAAGACGATCTATTGTGGTAAATGGAAACTCGATAGCCATTGGTCGCTGCTGGAGACATATCCTCCCATCTGGCAGACACCAGAACGTTCTTCCCCCGACCCTGACAATAACATTATCGGAAACAGCAGTTATCCGTTGTTTAAGTGAGCGTGGAATGCCTCCCTGGGTGGGTAGTTGGGCGTCGTTTGTGCCAGAGTGGAAACCTCACTAAGATAATGGGTTTATTCTTACACTCGGATTACTATGAGAGCCTCGCTGGGAGTCTCCTCAAGTGCTCTCCGTACCCTCATGTCTCTCGCTACTTTTACACTGAGAACATCGGGAGGTACTGCTGCTCCTGCCCGGGCCACACACACACACTCAGGTTGGGCCAGGTGTGTTTTGTATGGCTCCTCAGGTTCAGTGTGATATCTCTCTCGCTTTCTGTCTCTGTCTATATTGTTGTCCATTCTTCTTTATGTTCGTCTATCTACCCATTTATACGTCTACGTTTCTGTCTGTACATCTGTTTGTGTCTGTCGATATGTATGGGTGACTAATTGGTTTAATATACAAATTACAACGTACAATTTCGCCATTGTGTTATACATATTGGCAATTTCTTTCACTCAATGGTACATGAATTGTGTACATAAATTGGGTATTACACGTCTGTATCATGTATTGTATGTTGTTCTTTAGTATAGTAAATTTGTAGATAAACCACTTATTATATTCTTTATATCAGGTGTTGTAGTGTATCATTTATAGTGTCCTATACTTTACCTATATTACTCAGTTTGAGTGTCCGTATATCTTGTGTAATAAGACATACGGGTGATCCTCAATATGGGAAACACAAAAGTGAAAACTTCCAAGAACTTTTGTGATCATTTGAATCTTGTACAGTACAGTAGGAGTGAGCTGCCAGAGGTGAGGTAATTTATACATATTAATTTACCAGGAGTCAGGTGTAGACACAGAGACATTATCACACACACCTGTGACAACATCTCGATGGTCACACACGGTCAAAGAGGTTATGAAGGAAGGCCGGCCATAAACTTAACGTTAATACAATTTCTTTAATGATGAAAGTATCGAAAATAAGTTAACCAAAACAAGAGTAAACACTACAACTAATAATATTCTTAATACTATTTACCCAATCAATATTCCCACCAACACCTGAGGAACCTGACACTATTTTACAAGTATTATTCCTGCTACAAGGATGATCAGATTCTCTCATATGACCAAACAAAGCGTTAGTCTCCTGTCCATTACAGATAAGTGGTATTTAATTCTACTAACTAATTCCTTGTCTGATTGTACTAACATCAATGTGAATTAGACTGACAATTATTAATAAGTACGTTAATAACTGTATTTAAGTTGTTGAAATCAACTTTGGCATCAATAGTTGTAAGCGTAGAAGCAAGAATTTATGTTTGAGAGAACTTGCTTTAATCCCGTTTTGCCTATAGCTATTTCCTTTACTAGTATTGCGCCTTGGGTCATCCCTGAACAATGGAACACAATAACTCGGACAAACATAATAGATGAAGATAATATCCAGCGTGTGTCACATAACCACAACACAATAGTTTGCCTTATACCTTAGTGAAGGAGACGAGAATTAATTTTATTATGTTAACGGCGGCACACAAAGGTTCTATCAACCGGATATAAATTATTTCTCCTTCACCTCTCTCACCAAGACCCAAAAGGCTGCCTCACATACCATTACTGCCCACCCTCCCTTAGTGACTGTGTGTGCTTGTGTGTGGACACCTGTTGTCCCCCTTTGCTTGCCAACACTTGCTGGTACACCTGTGGCCACCAGCTCTGGTATATATACAGTATATTACTACCAAAGGCTTCACCAGCTTACACGGCCGATCCATCTTCCCTTCACGTGTGATAACCTCCTGTGTTGACAACGTGGTCAAAGAGAATCATCTTACACCGGTAGTCCTGAGGTGAGGTGGACGCTACCGTCAGTCACTACCCAAGTAGTCCTGGGATTTCTGATAGTCCTGGTAGTGTTGATATTCATGGTAGCCCTGGTTGTCCTGGTAGCCCTGATTGTCCTGGTATTCCTGGTAGCCTTTTAGTCCTGGTAGCACCTCATAGTCATGGTAGTTCTGGTTATTCTAGTGTCATTCTCAATTTTAAACTCGCATGATAAGTGATTGTTTTTTTCTGAAACTTTGATTACCAAATTTGCGACACAAAATGCGTGACAAAATTTTGTTTTTTCGAATGAAGTTTTATTGGTACGATTTCCACGACAATTTACAGAAAACTTTTCTTAAGAAATTATTTAATAATGTGACTGAACACAGATGGTGAAGACTGAGTGCGAGTCCTCCAGGTGTTATGGGTGGGGGAGAACACAGATGGTGAAGACTGAGTGCGAGTCCTCCAGGTGTTATGGGTGGGGGAGAACACAGGTGCTGGAGACTGAGTGCGAGTCCTGGAGGTGTTATGGGTGGGGGAGAACACAGGTGTTGGAGACTGAGTGCGAGTCCTGGAGGTGTTATGGGTGAGCGAGAAAGATCAGTGTGTCAGTTACGGTCTAATGAAACGTGATGATGAAGATTCATGATGTGGTGAATAATATACAGGTGTGACACTCAGGTGGTGTTAAGTTATTTACAATAATTATGTGACATTTAAATGTAAACGGAATATTCAGTACTTAAGTAAATTGCTACTACAAAAGTGGTGGTGATTTGTTGTGCATCAGTATTTTTTGATTCAGGTCAAATATGTGTAGTGTTTTGTCACACAAGTTCACTTAGCAATGTGTGACACAGAGAGAGAAAGAAGCGAGAAACTCTAGCTGTCGTACTTCAAACTGTGCTGTTAAGTTAGGATTTGAAACGAAAATTTGGAAGATATTAGTTCCTCAAACTTTCTCAGAATGTGAAATATAACAGAGTCTAGGACTGCCTTTAGTATCCTGGTGGCCCAGAGGTAGCGTTCCCCGGTCACAATTATAAGATCGTGGGTTCGAATCCTAGCGGGGTGAGGTGTTGATTATATGTAGAAGTCCGCATGCTTTATTGGGCTAATGAAATATATATGGATCCTCGTGTTTCGAAGCCGGACTTGGTAAAACGTTACTCTGATGACCTAAGTGGCACGGGTGGTCCCCATTAGAGGTTCACGGCGCCATAAGCTCGTTGAACAGGATTTGTGTGAAATATAACAGAGTCTAGGACTGCTTTTAGTGTCCTGGTGGACCAGAGGTAGCATTCCCCTGTCACAATTATAAGATCGTGGGTTCGAATCCTGGCGGGGTGAGGTGTTGATATATATATATATATATATATATATATATATATATATATATATATATATATATATATATATATATATATATATATATATATATATATATAAATATATATATATATATTTTTTCCAATATAATTGAAGTCTTTGCCACAAACTGTTGTTGTTGTTGACTTACTGTAGGTGTTTCTTCAGGTATAAATAAAGGCGTTGAAGCAGAGCACCTCACTCTTAGTCTCTATAACACACAACTGTTTTTCCCTCTTTCATGTAAGTGGTGGACGATGCGTGTGGTGGTAGTGGTGCTGGTGTTGTCACTGGCGGCTGTGACTTTCTCCAAGGTCAAGGTGAGTACCTGCAGAGAGAGAGAGAGAGAGAGAGAGAGAGAGAGAGAGATAGAAGGTTGTATATAGACAGACACATACACGACAAAACACTGAAACACAGATAAAGAAACAGTCAGAGACACACACAGACAATCAACAAGGAGCATCTCAGTAACATAAAGTTTATCCTCCAGGATGAAACATCAAGTAGGAAGGTGACCAAGACGGAGGCTGAGGAGGTCGTGGTGAAGGAAGGAAGTGGTGACGGAGACGATAATAAAGGTAGGAGAGACACACGAGGCAAGGAAGAAGATGACACACATACCAAGAGCGAGAAAAAAAGTAAAAAGAAAGGAAATATAAAAAATAAGACCATCCTCAGCGTACGTAACAATGAAGGAAAAAGTGGAAAAGTTAAAAAAGAAAAAAAACAAATAATAAAAAAAGAAAAGGAGAGGAAGTCAAAGAAACAAGTTAAAACAGATGAGAATAAATTACCAAAGAAGAATGGTCAAGTTAAGAGACAAAATAAAAAATTGAAAACAAATACAAACACGGACAAAACAAAGAAACCAAATGAATTAAAAAATGAAAAGGGTTTAGGAAAAAGAAAAAAGTTGAAAAATGCAAAAGGTTTAGATGAATCAAGAACGGAAAATAAATTAAAAACAAAGAAGAAACCAAGGAATAAGAAGACAAAGAAAGGAAAGAAACCAAATAATCGAAATGATGCAGGAAATAATGATAACACTGGAACAGATGAAAAACAACATAAAAATCCGAGAAAGTTGAAGAAATCGGGAAATACAGAAAACAGAAAGACTAGGAAGGAAGGAAAAGAGAAATCTAAATACAGGAACAAAAATGTAAATGAACGAGAAGAAATTGCCGATGAAAACAAACACAAGAACACACAAAGGCAACCTAAAAACAACAAACGAAAGAATAAGAACAATAAAGCGAACAATGAAAATGAGAACCAGGGAATAGTAAAGGAGAAGAGTGAAGGTGGAAAGAAGAAGAGAGTTAGACAAAGGGTAAAAGAAGAACAAGAACAGAGGATAAGAGAGAAACTCAATACTCAAGGCAGGACAAAAGTCGGAGACATCAGTAAGTGTTTTTCTCTCTACTAATTCACAGTGAACTGAATCCTAATAGTTTTCCTTTTTCTTTGACTTCATAACATTAGGAAAAAAATGACTTGAAGGTATTTCTAATGTTTAATGTGAATAGATTTCCCATACGTAGCAAACATAAATAAACGGTATTTCTCTCCGTTAACAGACTGAGAATGATCACTATTATTTTTGTTATGCAATTTATCTATTTTCTAAACCATCATATCTTGAAGGAAGCTAGACACAGGGATACATTAATTAGCTATATATCACTACAGATAAATGTAATTACATAAATTTTCAGCATTGTGGAGATACAGTATTTACCTCTTTGAGTTACCTCTTGTTGTGACTGTATATCAGCACTTGTGAGAGTAACTGTTGATTAGTTGGTACTTTTGCCATAATGCCTTGAATACCCAAGAGTTAATTAGTTAGTACTCTTGTCATATATGCCTTGAGTACCTTAGAGTTAATTATTAGTCTTGCTTTACATTCCTTGAGTACCTGAGTGTTAATTAATTGGTAATTTTGCCATAATGACTTCCTTACCAAAGGTGTGGAAGGCAAGGTAATGATATGAACCTTAAATGGTTAATTAATCACTTAACACTTGGGTGATAATTTCCTGGTGTACCATGAACCGTTAAACCCCTCCCGGTAATCCCTGACCCGTCATGACTCCCTGACGACCCTTAAGCTTCCATCTCAGGTCACATTGTATTTCTTGACCTGATAACTATCTGGTTCTTCCTCACCCCTCATGAACATGTGATGGCTCCCATTTATTATTAACATTATATTTACTCTCAGTGTCCACCAGCCTACAAGACGCAAAGTGCCTCTCACTTTTAGCTTTTTAGTTAAATCCTTTGTTACCCTTCTACTCCTGATGATTCTCTGGTGACCTTTGACCATGATATATAACTCTCTTGACCTCAGTGATGACCCATAAGTCAGGTGGATCATAGACCTAATATAAACGATTTTTGACCTTGAATCTCTACAACACTCAAGTGACCTTATGACACCGTGATAACCTGCGATATATCGGCAGAGTTCCTGGAGGTGTGTGACGGCAAGTACAAATTGAAGGCCGGAGAGAGTGTCGTCATCTACACTCAAAACACAAAAGATAAGAAGAGGTGTTCTACCAATATCAAGGTGTGTTACAATACTGTTTATCCGTCAGTCCGTCTGTGCTTCAATCCGTCCACAAATGTTCTTTATTAGCATAGACAGCCTAACACTCCTTATTTACTGCTTTGCCAATGATTTTTTTTTGCAAGATAGAAAGATAGACAGGATGTTTGTCTTATATTACCAGCTGATGGTGTATATTTACACCTGCTGAAGCTGGAAAACAGAAACACGTGCGTCTCTTAATTTTCAATAGTTGCTCTTTAATATATAAACTGACTTTGTGCACAAACATGTAATGAATGTTAAAAAGTACACTTAACATATTAAATTATGATTGTAATGTAAAAAAAATATCATGTTTTTATCAACATATTCATAACCAAAACAAAGAGGCGACGGATCTTCCCCAACACAGAAATTGTCATCTTATTCACAATTTCCAATACCCTCATCCTCACCTATGTGTTCCAGGGCCCGAAAAAGTCTGAGCTCATCTTCGACTGTCCTCAGTTCAACTTCAACAGTAAAGGCTGCAAGAAGGAGAAGTTAACCTTGAAATACAAAGTCAAGAACAAGCAGGAGAAGTAAGGCCATAGATATTTTTGGGGGATAGTTTAGTGTATTAGTGAAGTGCGTTACTGACAGGCACACGATGATGGTTCTTACTAACACCATAAAAAACATAAGGTAGATAATTTTATTGGAAAATATTGTAAACCTTATTTTCTCCTCCTGTCAGGTCCTGAGAGAATGTAGTTAACATAGATTCCAGGAATGATTTTGATCCAATTTTTCGATGTTATTTTTGTGTCTTATAATAACACTAACCATGGTGAATCTTAAAGCAGAACTACTCCATATATACCAGTGAGGAGATCAAATACCTGAGGCAATGAATAAAAATCTTAAAGTCGGATTACTATAGTCAGTGTGTCAAAATATGATATCAACCAGTTAGCTGCATTGTTTACATCTTCAAGTTATAGGAATTATTAAACGTAGGAACCCTTGACAACCTGACCCCATGAAGTTAAGTAACCGTTGTCACCATCCTGCAGGACAACTTACTGCAAAAGCGACTCGCCTCCGGCCAAAACTCTCAAGACTAACAAGTTGAACTTGAATTATAACCGCAAGAAGCTGAAGACGAAAGAGACGTCAGAAGGTCTCATCTGTATCGCCACTGTTAAGTTAGGTAAGTATTGTCCAAGTTGATTTATACATAAACATGTATTGATGTATGGCAGTATGTATTGTCGTATGACGGTATATTTAGATGTATGATGGTTACCACCGTTTCTGTGTGGATGTCGGTCACACTATAATAACCCGTTATAGTACCTCCTTCTTTCCTCACACAGCCAAACTGTGGAATGCTCTGCCTTCTTCTGTTTTTCCATACTAATGCAATCTTTCTCACTTTAAAAAGCTGATCTTCGTGGTGTAGATTAACACAGTATAACCTTTTTCTTCTCTATTTTTAATTTCTTTCTGTTCTTATTTTTTCTCCCCCTAGGCCCCGTTGTGGATCGTTCGACCTGTGTCCGGATGGACTAATTCCCTAAAAAAAATTATATACATATATTTTGATAAAATCACACGGGGAAAAGGGAAACAACGGAACACCTTAGCTTTCGTCTTTATTCCATACATCTTCAGTTCAGAGGCAACTGGATTACATGGACAGAGAGAGGCTTAAATATACAGGGTGACCTTATTAAACATGAGGTCAGGTCATAATGATGTCATCCACTAATCCCAACACCAACACACGCGTAGAGGAGCTTAAGAGAAAGGGGGCGACGTGACTAGTCAGGTCAGGTCAGGTCAAAAATAAGGGACCCATTAAATAACTATCCTACATCTAGGTCCAAGGTTTTCAAAGCATTTTTAACCTTGGGCCACTGACAAATAAATGGTATCGAGGGGAAAGTCTTAAATTGGATAACATAAGAACATAAGAATGGAGGAAACTGCAGCGGGCCTATTGGCCCATACTGGGCAGTCCCGTTTACACCCAACCCCTATTGCTCATATGAGCATCCAACCTATGTTTGAAGCAATTCAGCGTATTCGAGTTTATGATGATATTTGGTAACTTGTTCCATTCATCCACTACTCTGTTTCCAAACCAGTGTTTACCTATTTCACGCCTAAATCTAAATTTGTCTAATTTAAAACCATTGTTACGAGTTCGCTCCTGGTTGGATAATTTGAGTACCTTTGTAATGTCCCCTTTGTTTAGCCCTGCCTTCCACTTATACACCTCTATCAGGTCGCCCCTCGCTCTACGTCTCTCGAGGAAGTGCAAATTAAGATGCTTTAACCTGTCTCTATACTCAAGGTTCCTAATGCCCGGGATTAGTCTTGTCATTCTCCTCTGAATTCTTTCCAAGGATTCTATATCCATTCTGTAATACGGTGACCAGAACTGAACTGCGTAATCCAGGTGTGGTCTCACAAGAGCAAGATACAGTTTTAGGATGACCTCGCTAGTCTTGTAACTAACACTCCTTTGTATGAACCCAAGTACTTTATTAGCCTTGTTACGAGCAAAAACACATTGTTTACTTGGCTTAAGGTTCCTACTTATCATTACTCCTAAATCTCTCTCGCAGTCGGATTTCTCTGTGGCATCGTTGTTCATCTGGTATCTGGTTTCCCTGTTTACATCTCCTATACTGAGTACTTTACATTTGTCGACGTTGAATTTCATCTGCCATTTTTCAGACCAATCGAAAAATTTGTTTAGATCTTCCTGTAGTTTTGCCGAGTCCTCGTCATGGCTCACCGATAGAACGCAGAGGGTCAGCGTAGAACCGTAGATGGTGTTAAATCTGAGTGCGGTCGTGTAACCAGTGGGGTTCCCCAGGGGTCAGTACTAGGCCCACTCTTGTTCATAATCTACATAAACGATCTAGATCCTGGGATTAGCAGTGACATAAGCAAGTTTGCGGATGACACCAAAATAGGGCGGCAGATGAATTCAGGGCAGGATGCAAATGCATTACAGGAGGATCTAAATAAACTGCAGGGGTGGTCTGAAAAATGGCAAATGAAATTCAACAGCAGCAAATGCAGCGTACTTAATATTGGAAGAACAAATACTGTCAATGTATACAGCCTTAACAACATCAACCTAGAGAAGTCGACTTGTGAAAGAGACTTAGGGGTACTTGTAAGCCCGGACCTAGGGCCTAGAAAACAGTGCATTAATGTTCGAAATAAGGCAAACAGAGTATTGGGTTTTATATCTAGAAGTGTAAGTAATAGGAGTGCAGAGGTCTTATTGCAACTATATCTTGCGCTAGTCAGGCCGCACCTCGATTATGCGGTTCAGTTCTGGTGGCCTTATTATGGAATGGATATCAATTCACTGGAGTCGGTGCAGCGAAGAATGACGAAAATGATTCCGGGACTTAGAAACCTTCCATATCAGGATAGGTTAAAGAAACTAAACTTGCATTCCCTAGAAAGACGAAGAGTGCGAGGAGATATGATAGACGTATTTAAGTGGGTGAAAGGAATCAATAAAGGTGATATAGATAAAGTTCTTATAATATCCGAGCAGGATAGGACTCGGAGCAACGGATTCAAGTTGGATAAGTTTAGGTTTAGGAGGGAGATAGGAAGAAACTGGTTCACAAATAGGGTGGTGGACGAGTGGAACAAGCTTAGCAACTTTGTAGTAAGTGCGGGAACTCTGGAAAGCTTCAAAAGGAGGCTAGATAGATTCATGGATGATAGAGAGTGGTAGTAACTTTTGACAGGAGCTGCCATGCACAGGCCAACCGGCCTATTGCAGACTCCTTATTTTCTTATGTTCTTATGTTCTTCTGAATGATAGAGAGTGGTAATAACTCTCAACAGGAGCTGCTATGCACAGGCCAACCGGCCTATTGCAGACTCCTTATTTTCTTATGTTCTTAAGTATTTAAGTGGGTGAAAGGAATCAATACAGGCGATATAGCTAAAGTTCTTATAATATCCGAACAGGATAGGACTCGGGGCAAAGGATTTAAGTTGGATAAGTTTAGGTTTAGGAGGGAGATAGGAAGGAACTGGTCTACAAATAGGGTGGTGGACGAGTGGAACAAGCTTAGCAACTTTGTAGTAAGTGCTGGAACGCTGGAAAGTTTCAAAAGGAGGCTGGATAGATTCATGGATGATAGAAAGTGGTAGTAACTCTCGACAGGAACTGCCATGCATAGGCCAACCGGCCTATTGCAGACTCCTTATTTTCTTATGTTCTTATATATATATATATCCGTAAGCTGTGGAAGTTCCCTTTAGTCGACCTTCTTCACTATTCACCTCCTTCAGTCCTCACATTTATTGCACCTGGATCTCTCTACACCTTTACCTCGTATTATCCACTTAACTTATAACACTATTAATACACTACACTACACTACACTACACTACACTACACTTCCCCCATTGTACAGTTTAAATAAGTATCATCGGCGTTTCATATGTATAGTGTGTTTATATATGCGTTCCTTATCAGTTGTAACGCCCTCCATAGAACACGTTATCATGTGTACCTCACGAAGTTGATAAGTAAGCTTAAGGAAGTTAATTAATTGGTGCTTTTTCTCCCAGATTGACTTACATCACAAGTTAAAACTAATTGTTCACTTTTGCAGCTGCATCTGATGAGACGACTCCAGCGCCTGTCATTAACACCACTCCTTCGACTAATCAGACAACTTCTACTAATCAGTCGACCCCAACTAATCAAACAACCCCAACTAATCAGCCGACCCCAACTAATCAGACAACCCCAACTAATCAGACAACCCCAACTAATCAGACAACCCCAACTAATCAGCCGACCCCAACTAATCAGACAACCCCAACTAATCAGCCAACCCCAACTAATCAGACAACCCCAACTAATCAGCCGACCCCAACTAATCAGACAACCCCAACTAATCAGCCGACCCCAACTAATCAGACAACCCCAACTAATCAGCCAACCCCAACTAATCAGACAACCCCAACTAATCAGCCGACCCCAACTAATCAGACAACCCCAACTAATCAGCCAACCCCAACTAATCAGACAACCCCAACTAATCAGCCCCAACTAATCAGACCCCAACTAATCAGACAACCCCAACTAATCACAACCCCAACTAATCAGACAACCCCAACTAATCAGCCGACCCCAACTAATCAGACAACCCCAACTAATCAGCCGACCCCAACTAATCAGACAACCCCAACTAATCAGCCGACCCCAACTACTCAGACAACCCCAACTAATCAGACAACCCCAACTAATCAGACAACCCCAACTAATCAGACAACTTCAACTAATCAGCCAACCTCAACTAATCAGCCGACCTCAACTAATCAGACAACCCCAACTAATCAGACAACTTCAACTAATCAGCCAACCTCAACTAATCAGCCGACCTCAACTAATCAGACAACCCCAGCTAATCAGACAACAACAACTAATCAGTCAACTCAAGCTAATCAGACAACTTCAACTAATCTGCCAACCACAACCTCAACTAATCAGACAACCACAACACTAATTACTAAAAACTCTACAACTTCAACCACCAAGACGACAACTACCACAAGAAGCACAACAATCACCACAACAGCATCTACTACAACAGCTACAATATCTACCTCCACAAGTACATCTACTACCACAATTTCTACATCTACCTCTACTTCAACTGCAACATCTACCTCCACAAGTACATCTACCTCCACAAGTACATCTACCTCCACAAGTACGTCTACTTCCACAAGTACATCTACTTCCACAAGTACATCTACCTCCACAAGTACATCTACCTCCACAAGTACATCTACTTCCACAAGTACATCTACCTCCACAAGTACATCTACCTCCACAAGTACATCTACAAGTACATCTACTTCCACAAGTACATCTACCTCCACAAGTACATCTACCTCCACAAGTACATCTACTTCCACAAGTACATCTACTTCCACAAGTACATCTACCTCCACAAGTACATCTACCTCCACAAGTACATCTACCTCCACAAGTACATCTACCTCCACAAGCACATCTACCTCCACAAGTACATCTACCTCCACAAGCACATCTACCTCCACACAAGCACATCTACTTCCACAAGTAATCCACTCCACAAGCACATCCACCTCCACACATCCACCTCCACAAGCACACATCCATTTCCACAAGCACATCTAACACTCCACAAGTACATCTGGCTTCCCACACATCTACTCATTAAGTACATCTACTCCACAAGCACATCTACCCACAAGTACATCTACTTCCACAAGTACATCTACCTCCACAAGTACATCTACCTCCACAAGTACATCTACTTCCACAAGTACATCTACTTCCACAAGTACATCTACCTCCACAAGTACATCTACCTCCACAAGTACATCTACTTCCACAAGTACATCTACCTCCACAAGTACATCTACCTCCACAAGTACATCTACTTCCACAAGTACATCTACTTCCACAAGTACATCTACCTCCACAAGTACATCTACCTCCACAAGTACATCTACCTCCACAAGTACATCTACCTCCACAAGCACATCTACCTCCACAAGTACATCTACCTCCACAAGTACATCTACCTCCACAGCACATCTACCTCCACAAGCACATCCATTTCCACAGTACATCTACCTCCACAAGTACATCTACCTCCACAAGTACATCTACCTCCACAAGTACATCTACTTCCACAAGTACATCTACCTCCACAAGTACATCTACCTCCACAAGTACATCTACCTCCACAAGTACATCTACCTCCACAACAACACTTCCCTAAAATACATGCTCTACAACACGTACAAGTACATTAAGAACGACTGTACTTCTACAATATTACGTCATGTAGTACCATCACTTCTTATAATTAAATATTTATCAATTATGTATGAGAATAAGATATTTAATATTAATAATAAAGAATCATTAACTACTTTATGACTTGTGGTTGGACTAATATTTATATATCACTATATCACTGTCAGGGTAAATTAACACTTGGTGACTGTAGTATTTAGTCGTGGCACAGAACCAAATAATACCTAAAATTATACCGATAAACAAGGCCATTTGTGTGACCTGGATATACAGACTAATAACTGTTGTGACTTTAACGCTCTCTCAACAGATTTACTAACAAGGGTAAACCATTCAAGGTTATTGATAATAAATAATACTATAATCATTATTATTTCCAAAAAGTCGGTAATGTTACCTTAAGCAACAGTAAAAACAAAGTGCGTTCTTATCCAGCGGGCACCAAAAAAGTTCTCAATAGGTCCTCCCACCTTTTATTTTTTACCCACACCTTACTTATGGGTTCAGCTGTAACTAAGAGCTGTAATATTAGCTTGGACTTCCCACCTGTCGACTCTTTATGAGCTCATCATTTTTTCTAACTCTAATGTGATATCGGAATAATAAACAACACCCCAAATCCCTAAAGTACAGAAACTACCATTTATTGAGATGTTGGACAAAACGTGGACACCCAGCACGACACCAGGAGGACCCCACAAGTTGTTTCAGTGTCCAGCGTCTTAAGGTTGAACACTGTGTTAGAAAAGGAAGTCTAGAACAAAACTAAGAAGGATTTTATACCCATTCCTATATATAATGTGACGTTACACTGCACTACCACACCCCTTACTGGCAGGTGTAGTACGTCACATCTTCACTTGACGACAGCATTAACTATCTTCGCTTTTTACATATAAATTAAAAATATATGTTAATTATTCATAACATCTAAAGATAATAAAATGGATCATGTATAACGTCTGATTAAATGTAATGAATTATGTAAAATCACTAATTTATCTTAATGGAATAAACCAACTAAAATGAAAATAAATTCTTTTTATTACCATGGTATTAACAACTGTCTCTGGCAACCAATAATTCTTTGGGAACATTTACTCGGGAATCCAGATAAATCTTTGCATAAATAATTCAAGGTTTTTGTTATTTGTCAAATGTTAGTTCTATTGTCTCACCTATTTCTGCTATAATAGTTTTAATTCTGTGCAGTATCTAAAATAATACCTGCAGATATTTTCTCTAGTCTATTTAATTATAGTCTGTGTATTACCTGTAGTGTTGAATTAAATATAATAAATTGAGGGGGGGGGTGTATTGTATGTTGTGGTAGTGTAATGGCCCCTGTCTCACCAACAGAAGTATTATATAAATGGGTTAATTGCATTTGATTTATATACTGATTCACCCCCTGTAACTTCCACTGGCTATGAGTTGTCATGCTCTTATCAAGTGATTGGTGGCCTCCTTGGGGTGCGGCCACTGACTGCATGGGTCAGCACATGGGTCAGCTCGGAAAAGCCGGCACCACGGGGAGTCCCACTCATAATCTCACATCGAAAGGACGTGATTAAACAGTCTATTTTCATATCCGCCGTCCTTTCTCTTCACACTCATAAATAGTGGAAGTTACGGTTGATATACACTCAGGAATTGTATAAACGATAGTTCTTCAATAAAGGAAGAAACAGACAATTGGGTTTCGCTACTCTAACCCAATATAATATAAATGCACCAGCCTGGTTAACTTGACAGAACCTATAATTAACCAGCTATAACATAGGTGGCAGCTAGTGTGGTTACAGATACGAGATTCCGGTGTACATACCAAGGCGTCAGTGTTTTCCCTAAACAAGCAAACAATAAAGTGTGACGTGTTACATGAAATATCCGAGGGGGTTGTATGGGTGTATTGTATGTTGTGGTAGTAGTGGTAGAGGGGGGTGTATTGTATGTTGTGGTAGTAGTGGTAGTGGGGTGTATTGTATGTTGTGGTAGTAGTGGTAGAGGGGTGTATTGTATGTTGTGGTAGTAGTGGTAGTGGGGGCTGTATTGTATGTTGTGGTGGAAGTGGTAGTGGGGGCTGTATTGTATGTTGTGGTGGAAGTGGTAGTGGGGGGTGAATTGTATGTTGTGGTAGTAGTGGTAGAGGGGGGTGTATTGTATGTTGTGGTAGGAGTGGTAGTAGTGGTAGTGGGGGTGTATTGTATGTTGTGGTAGTAGTGGTAGTGTGGGGTCTGTATTGTATGTTGTGGTAGTAGTGGTAGAGGGGGGTGTATTGTATGTTGTGGTAGTAGTGGTAGAGGGGGGTGTATTGTATGTTGTGGTAGTAGTGGTAGTGGGGGCTGTATTGTATGTTGTGGTAGTAGTGGTTATTCTGAAATACATTACATGAAGCATCCACTCCGAATAAAACAGTTATTTTTTGGTAATGTAAATCCCAATGATCCTGATATTATATTGAAGGAGTTGTATCAAGGAGCCACAACATTCCTGAATCATTATTTCCTGTAGGCTTCAAATATTTAATGATTTATTATACAGAATCTTGCAGCTATTATAAATGAGATGATTATACTTTGTCCTCTCAGAGTTAGGAATATTGTGTAATGATATTAATAGACTTCCCTTGTTAATGAAGCGAAGCATATTTGATTTAGTGGATATATAGAGATAGATAATCCGATAAATCATATTTATTGTTAATTACGCTCTCGCTACCAACACACCCTGCTTCTCTTCTTCCTCAGTAACCTTTACCACAACGTACCATTTGTTTGTCTTTCTGATACAACAACAAAACAAAAGCACACTGTATAGCCTAAAACATCTTATTGTATTATTTACAAGATTAAAGGCAAGAGATGTACTTGATTTAAAAAGAACAGGCAAATATCAGAAGTTATTAAATATAACACAGAACTAATTAATATTTCAGATATAACAAGAGCTAGGAATGACAAAGAAAAACAATCAATATATTTTTAATTAATTTATTTCATTATCTTTTCATTAGTTATAATGTATAATTAATGTTACTAATTTCAATCAGATGTTATGAATAATTAACATACAGCTTCATTTCATATATACAGTATGAAAATAATTGATGTTTTCAGTAAGTGAAGCGTTATGTCGTCTGATGTAGGAATGAGGATGAAATGTTTTTTCAGTTTTGCTTCAGACATCCATTTAGCACAGTCCTACTTTAAGATAACTCACTCTCGATCATCATGTGGAGTCCTCCAGGGTGTCGTGCTGGGTGTCCATGGTTTCCCTTACAGTGTATGAATGAAACTTTCGGCAACTACTTCATTATCAAAAAATTAATTAAAACAATCAACTACAGTATATTACTTTATAGCCAAATGTGGTTGCCATCTTCACTATATATATATTCGACAAGCTAACACAATCATAGCTGTGACTACAAGAAAGTTTAAGTCAGGAGTAAGTCACAGGAGGTAACAATATACCTGACAAGGAATGTTACTGTATAGTAGGAGGGAAAGAAGCGACACCAGCACATAACCCAACCTCACTAATGTTTACTGTGGAATCCCGAAATGAAGAAGACAGGTCGGCTGCACGCGGTAATCTCAGCTTAACTCTCTTGGATAAGGACCAGATCAGGTAATATTACAGCTCTTAGTTACAGCTGAACCCATAAGTAAGGTGTGGGTTAAAAATAAAAGGTGGGAGGACCTATTGAGAACTTTTTTGGTGTCCGCTGGATAAGAACGCACTTTGTTTTTACTGTTGCTTAAGGTAACATTACCGACTTTTTGGAAATAATAATGATTATAGTATTATTTATTATCAATAACCTTGAATGGTTTACCCTTGTTAGTAAGTCTGTTGAGAGAGCGTTAAAGTCACAACAGTTATTAGTCTGTATATCCAGGTCACACAAATGGCCTTGTTTATCGGTATAATCTTAGGTATTATTTGGTTCTGTGCCACGACTAAATACTACAGTCACCAAGTGTTAATTTACCCAGACAGTGATATAGTGATATATAAATATTAGTTCAACCACAAGTCATAAATTAGTTAATGATTCTATATTATTAATAATAAATATCTTATTCTCATACATAATTGATAAATATTTAATTATAAGAAGTGATGGTACTACATGACGTAATATTGTAGAAGTACAGTCGTTCTTAATGTACTTGTACGTGTTGTAGAGCATGTATTTTAGGGAAGTGTTGTTGTGGAGGTAGATGTACTTGTGGAGGTAGATGTACTTGTGGAGGTAGATGTACTTGTGGAGGTAGATGTACTTGTGGAGGTAGATGTACTTGTGGAGGTAGATGTACTTGTGGAGGTAGATGTACTTGTGGAGGTAGATGTACTTGTGGAGGTAGATGTACTTGTGGAGGTAGATGTACTTGTGGAGGTAGATGTACTTGTGGAGGTAGATGTACTTGTGGAGGTAGATGTACTTGTGGAGGTAGATGTACTTGTGGAGGTTGAAGTTGTAGATGAAGTAGAAGTAGACGTAGAAGTTGTGCTAGTAGATGTACTCGTGCTAGTAGATGTTTGTTGTAGATGTATTGTGGAGGTAGATGTACTTGTGGAGGTAGATGTACTTGTGGAGGTAGATGTACTTGTGTAGATGTGCTTGTGGAGGTAGATGTACTTGTGGAGGTAGATGTGCTTGTGGAGGTAGATGTACTTGTGGAGGTAGATGTACTTGTGGAGGTAGATGTACTTGTGGAGGTAGATGTACTTGTGGAGGTAGATGTACTTGTGGAGGTTGAAGTTGTAGATGAAGTAGAAGTAGACGTAGAAGTTGTGCTAGTAGATGTACTCGTGCTAGTAGATGTTGTAGTTGAAGTAGATGTTGTAGATGAAGTAGAAGTGGACGTAGAAGTTGTGCTAGTAGATGTACTTGTAGTGCTAGTAGATGTACTTGTGGAGGTAGATGTACTTGTGGAGGTAGATGTACTTGTGGAGGTAGATGTACTTGTGGAGGTAGATGTACTTGTGGAGGTAGATGTACTTGTGGAGGTAGATGTACTTGTGGTAGATGTAGATGTACTTGTGGAGGTAGATGTACTGGAAGGAAGTAGATGTACTTGTGGAGGTAGATGTACTTGTGGAGGTAGATGTACTTGTGGAGGTAGATGTACTTGTGGAGTAGATGTACTTGTGGAGTAGATGTACTTGTGGAGGTAGATGTACTTGTGGAGGTAGATGTACTTGTGGAAGTAGATGTACTTGTGGAGGTAGATGTACTTGTGGAGGTAGATGTACTTGTGGAAGTAGATGTACTTGTGGAAGTAGACGTACTTGTGGAGGTAGATGTACTTGTGGAGGTAGATGTACTTGTGGAGGTAGATGTTGCAGTTGAAGTAGAGGTAGATGTAGAAATTGTGGTAGTAGATGTACTTGTGGAGGTAGATATTGTAGCTGTTGTAGTAGATGCTGTTGTGGTGATTGTTGTGCTTCTTGTGGTAGTTGTCGTCTTGGTGGTTGAAGTTGTAGAGTTTTTAGTAATTAGTGTTGTGGTTGTCTGATTAGTTGAGGTTGTGGTTGGCAGATTAGTTGAAGTTGTCTGATTAGCTTGAGTTGACTGATTAGTTGTTGTTGTCTGATTAGCTGGGGTTGTCTGATTAGTTGATGTTGTTTGATAAGCTGATGTTGTTGGATTAGCTGATGTCTGATTAGTTGAGGTCGGCTGATTAGTTGAGGTCGGCTGATTAGTTGAAGTTGTCTGATTAGTTGGGGTTGTCTGATTAGTTGAGGTCGGCTGATTAGTTGAGGTCGGCTGATTAGTTGAAGTTGTCTGATTAGTTGGGGTTGTCTGATTAGTTGGGGTAGTCTGATTAGTTGGGGTTGTCTGAGTAGTTGGGGTCGGCTGATTAGTTGGGGTTGTCTGATTAGTTGGGGTTGTCTGATTAGTTGGGCTGATTGTCTGATTAGTTGAAGTTGTGATTAGTTGTCTGATTAGTTGGGGTTGTCTGATTAGTTGGGGTTGTCTGATTATTTGAGGTCGGCTGATTAGTTGAAGTTGTCTGATTAGTTGGGGTTGTCTGATTAGTTGAAGTTGTCTGATTAGTTGGGGTTGTCTGATTAGTTGGGGTTGTCTGATTAGTTGGGGTTGTCTGATTAGTTGGGGTTGTCTGATTAGTTGGGGTTGTCTGATTATTAGGTCGTTGTCTGATTAGTTGGGGTTGTCTGTTGGGGTTGTCTGATTAGTTGGGGTTGTCTGATTAGTTGGGGTTGTCTGTTGAGGTCGGCTGATTAGTTGAAGTTGTCTGATTAGTCTGATTAGTTGAAGTTGTCTGATTAGTTGGGGTTGTCTGATTAGTTGTTGGGGTTGTCTGATTAGTTGGGGTTGTCTGATTAGTTGGGGTTGTCTGATTATTTGAGGTCGGCTGATTAGTTGAAGTTGTCTGATTAGTTGGGGTTGTCTGATTAGTTGGGGTTGTCTGATTAGTTGGGGTTGTCTGATTATTTGGGGTCGGCTGATTAGCTGGGGTTGTCTGATTAGTCGAAGGAGTGGTGTTAGTGACAGGCGCTGGATTCGTCTCATCAGATGCAGCTGCAAAAGTGAACAATTAGTTTTAACTTGTGATGTAAGTCAATCTGGGAGAAAAAGCACCAATTAATTAACTTCCTTAAGCTTACTTATCAACTTCGTGAGGTACACATGATAACGTGTTCTATGGAGGGCGTTACAACTGATAAGGAACGCATATATAAACACACTATACATATGAAACGCCGATGATACTTATTTAAACTGTGCAATGGGTGTAGTGTAGTGTAGTGTAGTGTAGTGTAGTGTAGTGTATTAATAGTGTTATAAGTTAAGTGGATAATACGAGGTAAAGGTGTAGAGAGATCCAGGTGCAATAAATGTGAGGACTGAAGGAGGTGAATAGTGAGGAAGGTCGACTAAAGGGAACTTCCACAGCTTACGGATTGCATGATGTAAAGATTGGCATATTATATATATCTCAACCTACACATACTGTTATACATCAATCCATATTCATAAAATGCGACCAAAAGCACTTACATTTCTTTGCAGTGACCTGACAGATGAAACCTCCTGAACACTCTTTGTTCTTCAGCTTCCGGCGTGTGTATCTGAAGTTCAACGCGTTAGACTTCGAAACTAAGTCTGGAGGAGTTTCCTTTGTACAGTGAGTTGACCTGTGGGATGGTGACAGCGGTCGTTTAACCTCACATTGGTCAGATTGTCAGGGGATCCTTTGTTCAATAATATTAGTTAACGTGAAAAGAAGTAAACAATTAAGCTATGTCGTTGAGATAATCTTTCTATTACACTGACTATATTAATCCCACTCTAGAATATATATTTTTGATATAGCTGTGTGTATTCCTGACTGCTATATCTAGTAATCAATAATAATATTAGTGTAATAACAAAAGTAGCAGTAGTAAGGCTTCAGCCTTAATAAACAAATTTCACACATGCTATAGTCTAACGTATGATTGGCCAGTGGACGGCATGGCCACCAATTGAGAGAGTAGAACATCCCACAACATCACCCATGCAATGGTGTGCAAGAAGGGAGGTTTCGTTTGCATGAAACATGATGAAGAGACCTCACAGCAAATAAGTTGAAGGATATATGCCGGGATGTCACTGTGGAACTGACCCTCCTCCCATTGGATGGCAAACATTTTTTACACCATACTGCCAACACAATTAATGAAGCCTGTGTGGACGTCAGTGTTCAAGGATTCTGGACGAGGGGACACCGAGCTTTCTTTGATATTAGGATATTCAATTCCCTGGCCGCATGTCACTGTGACCTGCCTCTCGAGGCTGCACATAATTATAAGAGGAACAAACACGAAACGAACAGAACATAAGCCAAGAGAATCCAGAACGTAGACCAAGGCAGCTTCACTCCGCCAGTATTCACAACATCGGGTGGGATGAAACCTAGTACTGCACAAGGTGTTTCTACGCCAGACTGGTTGAGGTACTATTATAGCAGAAGCAGCAACCCAGAAGTTATGTCCTGGCCTAGTTGAGGTGTCGCCTATCCATCTCTTTGCCCAGGGTTGTTTGCTGTGTCTCAGGGGAATATAATCTTTGACCCCTAATCCAACAACAGTCGCAGATATGGAGTTTGAGGCAACATTCACTGAATGCCATATAGACCTGCTGTGGCTTAACTATCACAGTGAGAGTAAATGTTTTTTTATTAGGATAGTTATACCCTTTCCACGCTAAGCTGGCCCATAAGCCCCGCGTCTTACCTCCTCCCCCCCTGATTGCACGTGTACAAGCACGTATTTGTATCGACGTTTTATGATAAATATTTATAATTTTCTAACATCTGCATTTTGATAGGTCATATATTAAATATTATTTTAGATACTAACAGGTCTTCTTATCAATTGTGAACACATTTAGTTTGAATTTTCTATGAACCAATCAACTATTAGTACAGAAGAGGGGCGTAGCTTTATTGGCTTGCGGGCCAGGTTAGCATGGAAATACCATAGGTAATAAAATGATGAAGGTGTGGCTCTAAGGGGAGACTAGAGGCCAAAATAAAAAAGTAGTAGTAGTAGTAGTAGTAGGTTTGGCGGAAGTGAGGTCAAAATAACAAAGGAAGGCCAAAGACACCTAGGCGCAGTAATCGGCACGACTGACTTCAAAACCGAGTACGTAACGGGAAAGGTGAATGAGTGGGTTGGGAAATCCTTGCACTGTCTGAGATTGCTAACACAGAGCCACATGTAGCTTTTGCAGCATTCACTCATGGAGTCAAGCATCGCTGGAACTACCTGATGCGCACTGTCCCTGATATTGGAACACTCCTCCACCCCCTGGAAGAAGCTATCAGCGTCAATTTAATTCCCAAATTAGTGAAACATCTTCACTTAACCCCAGCAGAAAGATCACTCCTTGCACTACCACCGAGACTGGGAGGTATGGGATTAACCAATCCAGAGGAGATTGCTGCCACCGAACATTAAAACTCAGTTAAGCTCACGGCAGCCCTCACGGACCACATAATATCTCAGAACGCAAAAGGGGAGGTGGATACCAGCGAAGTAAACAAGATTCGAAGGTCCATTACGACAGAACGACAGCACAGCCAAAGTGACAAGTTGCAGCAACTGTTGTTGCAAGTACCAGAGAATTTGAAAAAAAAAAGCAGCTTTAGCGCAGGAGGTGGGCGCCTCGAACTGGTTAACTACTTTACCGATAAGGGCAAATGCTTTCAGTCTCAATAAACAAGAATTTACAGATGCCAATGCTCTAAGGTACGGTAGGCCAGTGGAAAGTTTGCCTTCCCAATGCGTGTGTGGCTCTTCCTATGACGTCGATCACGCCATGGTGTGCAAGAAAGGGGGATTCATATGCATGAGGCCTGACGAGGTAAGAGATCTCACAGCAAATATGTTGAAGGAAATCTGCCATGATGTCATGGTAGAACCGACCCTCCTTCCATTGGACGGCGAGATCTTCCAACATAGGACTTCAAACACATCAGTGCTCTAGGATTCTGGACGCGGGGACAGCGAGCCTTTTTCGACATCAGAATTTTTGATCCCATGGCCACATGTCACCGTAACTTAGCTCTCCATGCTGCACACAGGAGGAACGAAAACGACAAGATAAGAGCATACGGGGAGAAAATTCAGAACGTTAATCAAGGCAGCTTCACTCCTCTAGTGTTCACAACCTCTGGTGGGATGGGACCAAGTGCAAGATGTTTTTACGCCAGACTCGCGGAGGTGATCTCCGAGCAGAAGCAGCAGCCCAGAAGTTATGTTACAGCCCGGATGAGATGTCGACTGTCCTTCTCTCTCCTTCGGTCGGCTTTGCTTTGCCTCAGGGGAACGAAAGCTTCGGCCCCAAAGCCGACAACAGCTGCAGATATTGACTATGAGGCTACAGTCACTGAATGCCGCATAGATCTGCGGCTCATTTAATTCAACGCAGCTAGGATAGCTACTTATGTATTAGGATATTTAATATTAAGGTAATAAAATGGCGGCAAAGGTGTGGCTATTGAGGTAGGTTGGAGGCCACGTTCAAAAAAAAAATAGTAGCAGTAGTAGTAGTAAGACTTCAAACACATCCAACGAAGCTCGTGTGGACGTCAGTGCTCGAGGATTCTGGAAGCAGGGACAGCGAGCCTTCTTTGACATAAGGATTTTTTATCCCATGGCCGCATGTCACCGCAAAAAAAAAAGTAGTATTAATAACCCTTACTGCCATCGTGTGTACGTTACATAACTCACTTCACCATTACACAATATAATCACAAAATGTTCTTACTTCTTCTTGCTCTTACTTCTGTAATTCACGATTAACTTCTCCCTCTTGCAGCCCTTAGTATTGAGGTTGAACTGAGGACAGCTGAAGGTTAACTTAGAATTTTTCGGCCTCTGGAACATATGAAAACAGTTGGGGAAATGAGTGACCGAACTTGTGATTAGAATTATAATTTGTGTTGCTGTAAAACACGTCTTGTCTTTGCCTAGGTATATAGAGATGAAAAATGAATAAATTTGCATTATTTTTAAATCCCAATCGAGAAAAAAACACCATTATATATCAAGCGAACTATTTTCACTTTTGCTATTATTTTTTTCAATAATTTTGTAACTACAGTAGTTATTTTTTATAATTACATACCATACAATAGGCTATTTCATTCCTTTGATTTAAATTTACTACATTTTCAGTGATTCTTTGTTTCACTTAGCAGCTGTAGTAATTAGTTTCTATAGTTCCTCAACTAAGGTTTTTAAGCACGTGCACAAAGTCAGTTTATATATTAAGGCGCAACTATTGAAAATTAAGAGACGCACGTGTTTCTGTTGTCCAGCTTCAGCAGGTGTAATTATACACCATCAGCTGGTAATATAAGACAAACATCCTGTCTTAACTGACATGCTGGATGGTATAGCTACTCTCTTTTAATATTCCTTAACCATATATTTTTATCTAAAAAAAAAACATTTTTTTTTATAAAGTAGGAAGTTGATAGCGTTAGGCTCATGGCTTTATCAAGCACTGTCTACACTGATAAATAACGTTTATGGAGGGACGGACGCACAGTCGCACGGACGGACGGACAGACAGTATTGTGACACACCTTGATAGCGGCATTACACTTTTTCTGGTCTCTTGTGTTTTGAGTGTAGATGACGACACTTTCCCCGACCTTCAAGGTGTAATCTCCGTTACACACATCCAGGAATTCTGCCGATATATCGAAGGTTACCTCCAGGTCATGAAAAGGTCAAAGGTCACTTGAATTTTGTAGAAATTCAAGATCAACATTGTGTTATTAGGTCTAGGATCCACATGAGGTCATGAGAGTTACGTATCATGGTCAAAGGTCACCAGAGAATCATCAGGAGTAGAAGGGTAACAAAGGATTTAACTAAAAAGCTAAAAGTGAGAGGCACTTTGCGTCTTGTAGGCTGGTGGACACTGAGAGTAAATATAATGTTAATAATAAATGGGAGCCATCACATGTTCATGAGGGGTGAGGAAGAACCAGATAGTTATCAGGTCAAGAAATACAATGTGACCTGAGATGGAAGCTTAAGGGTCGTCAGGGAGTCATGACGGGTCAGGGATTACCGGGAGGGGTTTAACGGTTCATGGTACACCAGGAAATTATCACCCAAGTGTTAAGTGATTAATTAACCATTTAAGGTTCATATCATTACCTTGCCTTCCACACCTTTGGTAAGGAAGTCATTATGGCAAAATTACCAATTAATTAACACTCAGGTACTCAAGGAATATAGAGCAAGACTAATAATTAACTCTAAGGTACTCAAGGCATATATGACAAGAGTACTAACTAATTAACTCTTGGGTATTCAAGGCATTATGGCAAAAGTACCAACTAATCAACAGTTACTCTCACAAGTGCTGATATACAGTCACAACAAGAGGTAACTCAAAGAGGTAAATACTGTATCTCCACAATGCTGAAAATTTATGTAATTACATTTATCAGTAGTGATATATAGCTAATTAACGTATCCCTGTGTCTAGCTTCCTTCAAGATATGTTAGTTTAGAAAATAGATAAATTGCATAACAAAAATAATAGTGATCATTCTTAGTCTGTTGCCGGAGAGAAAAGCATTTTTTTATGCGTTTTGTTTTGACGATAAGAACCAATTTCATATACAGTAGAACATGGGAATACTCTTAAGAGTACTTTTATTTATGATTTCCGTAATATTCTCAAAATCCAAGAAAAGTTATACATATATAAAATCAGAAATAAAGATAATATCCTAAAACGATGAATCAGAGAGAAAGAAAAAAGAAACTTACTGACATTTCCATCCATTGCTTTTAATTGGTTAAGCGATTTCCCTTTTAGGTTTATTTTGTTTACTTGTTTATGTAGCTTCTCCACTTTGTTTTTAGGTTGGATAATTTTGCGAGATTCCTTAAATTTCTTTTGTGTCTTTATATTTTTCTCTGATGTTTGAGAATCTGACACGGTGTTGTCTTCATTTTGTTTCCTGTTTTTTTTATTCTTAGTCTTTGATTTCCGTTTCCCCTTCGTCTTTTTTAATGTTTCTATTGATGTATTCGACTTTCTTGATTCATTTTGCAGCTTTTCTTTTACTGGTTTCTTTGTCTTTTTTACTTTTCCCGTTTTCTTTGACTTCTCTTCTTTTCTCGTTTTCTTTATATTATGTACCTTTCTTGTTTTATTTGTCTTCTTTCCTGGTTTATTTTTATGTGGTATTTCTCCATTTCGGGTTTCTAATTTCTTTTTATTTCCTGGATTTCTTATATTCTTTGGGTTTTTCAGCAACTTTGTCTTCCTCGGGTTCTTTGCTGTCTCTGTTTTATTGGATTTTTTGGGTGTGTCGAGTTTCGTCACTCTTCTCTTCCGTTTCTCTGATTGTTCGCCTTTACTTGGTTTATTAATTTCGCTTCTTTTATTTTTTCTCTTTACATTCTTCTCTTCTTTCTTTATCTGCTTTTGATTTTTCTTTAATTTCCTTTCCCCTTTTGCATTCTTTGGCCCAAGTGTTTTTCCTTCCTTTCTCCAAGATTTATTATCGTCTCCGCCACCACTTCCTTCCTTCACCACGACCTCCTCAGCCATCGTCTTGGTCACCCTCCTACTTGATGTTTCATCCTGGAGGATAAACATCATGTTACTGATTTGTTCCTTGTTGATTTGTCTGTGTGTGTCTCTGACTGTTTCTTTATCTGTGTCTTCAGTGTCATGTCCTGCCTCTGTCTGACTATACACAACCTACACTCTCACCCTCTCTGCAGGTACTCACCTTGACCTTGGAGAAAGTCACAGCCGCCAGTGACAACACCAGCACCACTACCACCACACGCATCGTCCACCACTTACATGAAAGAGGGAAAAACAGTTGTGTGTTATAGAGACTAAGAGTGAGGTGCTCTGCTTCAACGCCTTTATTTATACCTGAAGAAACACCTACAGTAAGTCAACAACAACAACAGTTTGTGGCAAAGACTTCAATTATATTGGAAAAAATATATATATGAATAACTGTCAAAATAATCTATATATAAAAAAAAAAAAAAAAAAAAAAAAAAAAAAAATATATATATATATATATATATATATATATATATATAAATATATATATATATATATATATATATATATATATATATATATATATATATATATATATATATATATATATATATATATATATATATATATATATATATATATATATGCAAGTAAATCACTGTATGATCTAGGTATATGCTGATAACCACAAGGAAAGAAGGAAGTTCCCAAGCGCTTTCGTGTAATTCACATCTTCAGGGGTGAGTACAGACTGTACTCACCCCTGAAGATGTGAATTACACGAAAGCGCAACTTCGTTCTTCTTTCCTTATCAGCATATATATATATATATATATATATATATATATATATATATATATATATATATATATATATATATATATATATATATATATATATATATATATATATATATATATATATATATTCCACATATTCATTTCAAATCCTAACTTAACAGCACAGTTTGAAGTACGACAGCTAGAGTTTCTCGCTTCTTTCTCTCTCTGTGTCACACAATGCTAAGTGAACTTGTGTGACAAAACACTACACATATTTGACCTGAATCAAAAAATACTGATGCACAACAAATCACCACCACTTTTGTAGTAGCAATTTACTTAAGTACTGAATATTCCGTTTACATTTAAATGTCACATAATTATTGTAAATAACTTAACACCACCTGAGTGTCACACCTGTATATTATTCACCACGTCATGAATCTTCATCATCACGTTTCATTAGACCGTAACTGACACACTGATCTTTCTCCCTCACCCATAACACCTGCAGCACTCACACTCAGTCTCCAGCACCTGTGTTCTCCTTCACCCATAACACCTCCAGGACTCGCACTCAGTCTCCAGCACCTGTGTTCTCCCTCACCCATAACACCTGCAGCACTCACACTCAGTCTCCAGCACCTGTGTTCTCCCTCACCCATAACACCTCCAGGACTTGCACTCAGTCTCCAGCACCTGTGTTCTCCCTAACCCATAACACCTCCAGGACTCGCACTCAGTCTCCAGCACCTGTGTTCTCCCTCACCCATAACACCTGCAGGAGTCGCACTCAGTCTTCACCATCTGTGTTCAGTCACATTATTAAATAATTTCTTTAAGAAATGTTTTCTGTAATTTGTCGTGGAAATTGTACCAATAAAACTTCATAAGAAAAAAAAAATTTTTCACGCATTTTGTGTCGCAAATTTGGTAACCAAAGTTCCAGAAAAAAACAACCACTTACCATGTGAGTTTAAAATTGAGAATGACACTAGAATAACCAGAACTACCATGACTATGAGGTGCTACCAGGACTAAAAGGCTACCAGGAATACCAGGACAATCAGGGCTACCAGGACAACCAGGGCTACCATGAATATCAACACTACCAGGACTATCAGAAATCCCAGGACTACTTGGGTAGCGACTGACGGTAGCGTCCACCTCACCTCAGGACTACCGGTGTAAGATGATTCTCTTTGACCAAGTTGTCAACACAGGAGGTTATAACACGTGAAGGGAAGATGGATCGGCCGTGTAAGCTGATGAAGCCTTTGGTAGTAATATACTGTATATATACCAGAGCTGGTGGCCACAGGTGTACCAGCAAGTGTTGGCAAGCAAAGGGGACAACAGGTGTCTACACACACACTACTATTACTACTTTTCTGTCACTCGGAATCGAGTATGACGATCATCCTGCTATGATACAATGATATGAGTTATTAGGGATGTCACCTCGGTTGGTGAGTTTTGAAGTGACTAAAGAGAGCGATACAGCCCCGGCAGCGTCGTTTACATTCGTTGCACATGAGGAGGGCTCCAACTACTACGGGTGGCAGCGTCTTTTCGGCGTTGGCGCTTGTCTGCTTCGGTTTGCAGTCGGGCTAACTCGAAAGCATTGACACCTTCCCGAGTGGTGCTCCTCCAAGCGTCACGATGTGGCGTAATCGACTCCCAGGTGAGGGGGTCGATTTGACACTTTATCAGGTTTGTCTTAAGACTTTCTTTATACCTTTTCAATCGCCCGCCGGCGTTACGTTTACTATTCGTTAAGTGACTGTAAAGTAGCTGTTTTGTCAGTCTACTGTCGTCCATGCGGGTAACATGGCCAGTCCAACGTGGTTGTTCATGGATAATGGTAGCCTCAATGCTCCTACAGTTGGTGTCAGCAAGAATACTGGCATTTGGTCTCTTGTCTTCCCAGCGAACTCGGAGGATGGAACGTAGACTACGTTGGTGAAAGTTTTCAAGTGACTTGAGAAGCCTCCTGTATGTGACCCATGTCTCACTGCCATATAGCAAGGTGCGGGGGCCACTGCTCGATATACGTGCAGCTTTGTATATATGAATGACCTAGCTGGGTGCGGTTGCCCAGTCAGGTTGCGCCGTCCCTCTGGGGCCCACTGCTACTCCGAGATGCTCTGCTGATGTAGCCTGGGCCCTAGAGGCACCCAGTTACCGTGGGTTGCTACGAGGAGGCACAGCAGGAGTCTTGATGGTGAGAAGGCTTTGTACTGGAAGGGGAAGACTTATGCAAGTTGCTTCCCTGTTTGCCGGGAGGGCAGGCCAGCGGCAGCAGATGAAAGCGAGAGGGAGCAAGCACTGCTTGCATCTTAACACTAACATAATGCTGGCACTCTGGATGCAATTCACCACCCTGTTTGGCTGCACACACACACACACACACACACACACACACACACACACAGTCACTATGGGAGGGTGGGCAGTAATGGTATGTGAGGCAGCCTTTTGGGTCTTGGTGATAGAAGTGAAGGTGAAGGAGAAATAATTTATATCCGGTTGATAGAACCTTTGTGTGCCGCCGCCAACATAATATAAGTAATTCTCGTCTCCTTCACTAAGGTATAAGGCAAACTATTGTGTTGTGGTTATGTGACACACGCTGGATATTATCTTCATCTATTATGTTTGTCCGAGTTATTGTGTTCCATTGTTCAGGGATGACCCAAGGTGCAATATATATATATATATATATATATATATATATATATATATATATATATATATATATATATATATATATATATATATATATATATATGCAAGTAAATCACTGTAGTTGCGCGTGTGTGTGTGTGTGTGAAGAAATTATTTAATAATGTGACTGAAATAAGACAATAGTTGATCACCTTGTTGGTTGACGACATCAACACCTGCAGCAGACTGAGGTGTTATGGTTGAGGGAGACACCGATGCTGGAGGCTAAGTGCGAGTCCTACAGGTGTTATGGGTGAGGGAGACACCGGTGCTGGAGGCTAAGTGCGAGTCCTATAGGTGTTATGGGTGAGGGAGACACCGGTGCTGGAGGCTAAGTGCGAGTCCTACAGGTGTTATGGTTGAGGGAGACACCGGTGCTGGAGGCTAAGTGCGAGTCCTACAGGTGTTATGGTTGAGGGAGACACCGGTGCTGGAGGCTAAGTGCGTGTCCTGCAGGTGTTATGGTTGAGGGAGACACCGGTGCTGGAGGCTAAGTGTCCTACAGGTTGTTATGGATGAGACACCGGTGCCGGAGGCTAAGTGCAGGTCGTGCAGGAGTTATGGTTGAGGGAGACACCGGTGCTGGAGGCTAAGTGCGAGTCCTACAGGTGTTATGGTTGAGGAGACACCGGTGCTGGAGGCTAGAAATGAGTCGTGCAGGTGTTATGGTTGAGGAGACACCGGTGCTGGAGGCTTAGTGCGAGTCATGCAGGAGTTATGGTTGAGGAGACACCGGTGCTGGAGGCTAAGTGCAGGTCCTACAGGTGTTGGGTGGGGGAGACACCGGTGCTGGGCTAAGTGCGAGTCGTGCAGGTGTTATGGTTGGGGAGACACCAGGTGCTGGAGGCTAAGTGCGAGTCGTGCAGGAGTTATGGTTGAGGAACACCGGTGCTGGAGGCTAAGTGCGAGTCCTACAGGTGTTATGGGTGAGAGACACCGGTGCTGGAGGCTAAGTGCGAGTCGTGCAGGTGTTATGGTTGAGGAGAACACCGGTGTGGAGGCTAAGTGCGAGTCGTGCAGGTGTTATGGTTGAGAAACACCGGTGCTGGAGGCTAAGTGCGAGTCGTGCAGGTGTTATGGGTGAGGAGACACCGGTGCTGGAGGCTAAGTGCGAGTCGTGCAGGTGTTATGGTTGAGGGAGAACAAAAGGTGCTGGAGGCTAAGTGCGAGTCCTGCAGGTGTTATGGGTGAGGGAGAACACAGGTGCTGGAGGCTAAGTGCGAGTCCTGGAGGTGTTATGGGTGAGGGAGAACACAGGTACTGGAGGCTAAGTGCGAGTCGTGCAGGTGTTATGGGTGAGGGAGAACACAGGTGCTGGAGGCTAAGTGCGAGTTCTGCAGGTGTTATGGGTGAGGGAGAACACAGGTGCTGGAGGCTAAGTGCGAGTCCTGCAGGTGTTATGGGTGAGGAACACAGGTGCTGGAGACTAAGTGCGACTCCTGCAGGTGTTATAGGTGAGGGAGAACACAGGTGCTGGAGGCTAAGTGCGAGTCCTGCAGGTGTTATGGGTGAGGGAGAACACAAGTTAGGATTTGACACAAATATTTGGAGGACATTAGTTGCTCAAACTTTCTCAGAATGTGAAAAATATATATTTTTAGATTAAATTATTTTTTCTACAAATATTCACAAATGTTTACATTATAATTGAAGTCTTTGCCACAAACTGTTGTTGTTGTTGACTTACTGTAGTCTCTATAACACACAACTGTTTTTCCCTCTTTCATGTAAGTGGTGGACGATGCGTGTGGTGGTAGTGGTGCTGGTGTTGTCACTGGCGGCTGTGACTTTCTCCAAGGTCAAGGTGAGTACCTGCAGAGAGAGAGAGAGAGAGAGAGAGAGAGAGAGAGAGAGAGAGAGGGTTGTATATAGACAGACACATACACGACAAAACACTGAAACACAGATAAAGAAACAGTCAGAGACACACACAGACAAATCAACAAGGAGCATCTCAGTAACATAAAGTTTATCCTCCAGGATGAAACATCAAGTAGGAGGGTGACCAAGACGGAGGCTGAGGAGGTCGTGGTGAAGGAAGGAAGTGGTGGCGGAGACGATAATAAAGGTAGGAGAGACACACGAGGCAAGGAAGAAGATGACACACACACCAAGAGCGAGAAGACAAAAGTAAAAACACAGTAATAAGAAACAAGGAAACCCAGTAAAAGGTGGACACTGAATAAGGACAGATAAAAGAGAGAAACTTGCAATGGAAAACAAGCTGAGAAGGAAGAAATATAAGGAAACAAAGAACAGAGGAAAATCGAGGGGAAAGGGAGAAAACATGTAGGTTAAAGAACGTAAAAAATAGAAGGGAAATTAAAGTAAAATCAAAAGCAGATGAAGAACGAGGAAGAGAAGAACAAAAAGAAAAAAGGAAACGATATAATTAATAAAGCAAATGAAGGCAAACACACAGAAAAATGGAAGAAAAGAACGAAGAAATTAGACAAAACGAAATAAAATACAAGATAACCGAGACGGCAAAGGAGCCGAGGAAGACAAAACGATTGATAATAATAACTTAGGAAAAAGACAACATAAAATAACACCAGGAAAGAAGACAAAGAAAACAGGTAAAGAAAAGAAGCAAAATTAATCAAGAATGTGGAATACACCAGGAGAAATATTAAAAAAAGACGAAAGGAAAAAGAAAATTAAAGATAAAGAATAAAAAAAAAGGAAACAAAATGAATCCCTGCGGCACGACAGATTCTGAAACATCAGAGCAAAATATGAACCATAAAAAACACAAGAGGCAAATTAAGGAATCTGGCATAATGATCTAGCAAAACAGCAAAGAGAAGAAAGTACATAAACAAGTAAACAAGACAAATCTAAAAGGGAAATAGCTTAACCAATTAAAAGCAATCGATGGAAATTTCAGCAAGTTCTTTTTTTTCTCTGATTCATCGTTTTAGGATATCATCTTTATTTCTGATTTTCTATGTAACTTTTCTTGGATTTTGATAGTATTACGGAAATCATAAATAAAAGTACTCATAAGGGTATTCCCATGTTCTACTGTATATGAAATTGATTTCTATCGTCAAATCAAAACACACAAAAAATGCTTTTCTCTCCGTCAACAGACTAAGAATGGTCACTATTATCTCAAGCTTTTTCATGTTATCTATTTCCTAAACTTTTATATTGTGATTGAAGCTAAGATATGGGATACAATAAGTAGTTTTATATCACTGAAGATACATAGTAATTACATTAAATTTTCAGCACTGACATATGAATGGTGAGCGAATGGCACCAAGAATCACGGACCAGGATCAGGTTGGGTTGATATTATTCCTCCCTTACCCTCCCAACCCTCCCTAAATCAATCACCCTCTCCCTCTCATCCCCTCTCTCCCTCACGCAACACCCTGTCATTCCCCCCACACCCCCATCCTCTCAACCCTCATAACCTAACCGAACCTGCCTGACCACGTGTGACCATAGAGAAGTTGTAATGTATAAGATGGATATAATCCCCAAAGTTCTTGAATGGTTTTCACGTTTGCGTTTCCTATGTATAGTGTTATATTGTACGTTTTATTACCTCACAACAACAGGGACACTCAACAATACACTCCAATACCTGATACCTGTACTAAAGAACATAAACACAATACATGATACAAAAGTGTGATACTCTAGTTATGTACCATTGAGTGAGAGAAATTGTCAATATGTATAACACAATGGCGAAATAGAACCTTCTTCACTTTCACACCCTTCCTCTCTCTAGCGCACACTCCCACTCTCTCTCTCACACCTTGGCTCTTTCTCTCCCTCACACCCTCTCTCTCACTATCACAATGTTTCTGACATGTTTTAATTCTCTTTTAAATCTATTTCTTTATCTCTCTCACGTACTCACACCCTCACTTTATTTTATGCGCTGAAAACAACCATCATACACTGTAGGCCAGAAAGGTGACCAGAAATTAATATAAGAAAAAAGTTTATTGCATGGGAACCACAAAATTTATACTGGGATATAAGTCGCATTATCTAGTCTAGGTAATGGGGGATTTTTGTTGGTTGTAGAGGGGTTTACATTATGAGACGTGAATGATTATGATTTGGGGATTTGTATTTAATCCTAATCTATCTGCTGTTTAGGATTTACATATGAGGAATCAAGTTGATTGGGATTTGTTTGTAGTTAAATCTTTTTGTAACAGGATTATATTGACCACGAATGCCTCGAAACTGAAGAATGGCCGGAGAAAATATTGCAAATGTTCCTAGCTTGGAATTTTTTATTTTTTTTCCGTACACTAATGACGAGACATGAGTGTACGGAGAGCACTTGAGGAGACTCCCAGCGAGGCTCTCATAGTAATCCGAGTGTAAGAATAAACCCATTATCTTAGTGAGGTTCCCACTCTGGCACAAACGACGCCCAACTACCCACCCAGGGAGGCATTCCACGCTCACTTAAACAACGGATAACTGCTGTTTCCGATAATGTTATTGTCAGGGTCGGGGGAAGAACGTTCTGGTGTCTGCCAGATGGGAGGATATGTCTCCAGCAGCGACCAATGGCTATCGAGTTTCCATTTACCACAATAGATCGTCTTCCGGCGTGTGTTTTATTGTGTTACTCTTGAACAACATGACACTGTTTATCCAACACAGCTCACAGTTGGTGGATCATGCCCGTTTCTGAGGGTAGGCTACCTTGGGTGCATCTTATTGACTCCTAGAGCAGGAGGTGAGCATTATATCCACTCGGCCTCGTTTCTTGCCAAATATATTCATTAATAAATACACTGAATATCTCTCTCATACCTTACTTCATGGTTCTAAGCAGCCAGGCCAGCGTGTCATGAGTATACCACCACCTGAGCTGGCCTGACCACCAAGATATATAACACATAAAATAAAAAAAGGAAAATGTACTAAAGATGATAACATACTCTAGTGCAGGGGTTCTTAACCTGGGTTCCGTGAAGGTCAGATAAATATTTAACATTTATATTCACTATATTTTTATATCAAGTTGTTCTATTTTTGTCAATATATACCAGATGTTATGTATGTATTTTTGGTTACTGAAGAAAACCAGTAAATCTGTAGGGTGGCATGGGATGCTCTGTACACGGTCAGGTAACATACAATCGTCATCGTCGTCAGGTTTTGACTTCTAGAGAGTTTACTTTATTCATACTTTGTGTATGTCATACACTGTATGAGGCAATGAAATTTCAATAAAATAAAGTATATTCATTGCATGCAAAGTTGTGTTATGTGCTTATGTGCATTTTTCTAGGGAGGGGGTCCATAGCTTTCACTAGAGTGAGACAACTGTAGAATGAGAGAACCGTTGGAGTGAAATAGCGAGTGTCAGAGAACCACAGTGTGAGAGTGGCAACAATGGGTTCTGAATATTAATGACAAAATATTCTACCTTTTCAGAAGATATTAACTACGTCTCCTGAGACGCCTGAGTTAACATTTCCATTTTTTTGTCTCACTCCCTCTCTTTAATTTGTACATTCATTATTTTCAACACACAAATCTATACCTTCTAATATATATATATATATATATATATATATATATATATATATATATATATATATATATATATATATATATATATATATATATATATATATATATATATATATTATTTTGAGATTCACAAAGAAGCGCTGTAAAGATATCTTGTTCCTACAAGATGAACGTCTTCAGAAGACATTAGAGTGTAATATGTAAAACAGGTGCGGGGAACCTTTGCCCAGACAAGCAAGGAACAAGGCGCCTTTCATCACCAAGGTTACCTTCTCCGCTCCTCTCCCTCCCGGCAGCATAAACTCAAATGAGAAATCAAAAGAACCTTGAATTCTTGAGCGATATCTGAGATGGTGTTGGTCTGCTGAGGCGCTGAGGTGAATGTACCGATATTGATGGTGAATCTTGGTGTGTGTGTGTGTGTGTGTGTGTGTGTGTGTGTGTGTGTGTGTGTGTGTGTGTGTGTGTGTGTGTGTGTGTGAAAATCTCGTGCCTAACGTTAGCACACACACACACACACACACACACATCCACAAGGAAAACACACCTGTGAACCGCTGAGTCAACACAGTCCCTTCAGCAGCAGTCTGGGAGGAGTCAGCCCACACACACACTCATACCCACACACACACACACACAAATTAAAACTCTAAAATTGAGCCCAAACCCTAGAAAAAAAAACTTTTCTTGAAAAAGCGGGAGGAGGTTTGGGGGGGAGTGGAGATTCAGGGGGTCAGACTGAGGTTGGAGACCTTTGTTGTTAAATTGTTGTAGCTTAGGGGGGGGGCGCCCCGGGGGGGGGTAATTTCCAAGAGGGGCGTGAACCCAGAGCAAAAATAAGGAATGGCTTTAACAGAGGTAGGTGTGTGTGTGTGTGTGTGTGTGTCCTTATTTACATTTTCGTGGGGGGGGGCCTCATTCCCCACAGATACTTCAAAATGTCGTAAGTGGTAACTACGTCAATCAAAATGTAAAATTCCACTGAAAGTGACTGAATTAAGGGAGTAATAATGTCGGGAAGTGTACGATAATTTGATGAAGAAACGATAATTTTGAGGCTCCAGAATGATAATTCACATTTGAAAATTTGTCAACGCTGACTGCAATGGTTGCTTATACAGACTCTTTGGAATAATTAAAGTTACTAAAGTAACGAATGAACAACTACTTTCTCAATTTTCCTATTTAATTCAAGAGGGGGCACGACTCTAAAAAGGTTAAGAACCACTGCTTCAGTGTTTCAATTCTTTGCACCTTCACCGAGAATTCAACATTTTTGCCTTGAATCACAAAGTTAGTCTATTTTAATATAAAGAAAATGAATGAAAATATATTTCTACACACCACGCTGGGATCAACCTTTATACTGTATTTCGCCTCATCAAGAAATTCTTCGAAGGACGTACAAAATAATAAAGCGGGGAAGTAGACGTGTATGTTGTATTATGTTTCACCCTGAACTCTCTTGTTGTTCTTATAGCAGCCATTAGAGGTGGGCGTTGAAGTGTTCTGATCCTATACTGAGATGCTTCAAATAGATTCCTCACTTTCCTAACAATAACTCTCAATTTATATTAGTTCATCAAGCAAACTGTATATA